TGTTGCAGCCAGTGGCACAGGGAACATCTCACGAGTAGAAGGAAAAAATGGATTCCATAAAATTTCAGCAAATTTTGGATGGTAACTTGATGCCATCTGTGAAAAAGCTGAAGTTAAAGAGAGGATTGGCTTCTACAAATGGATAATGATCCTAACACACACCTCGAAATCCACGGGGGATTACATCAAGAGGCGTAAATTGAAGGTTTTGCCATGGCCTTCACAAATCTCCTGACCTCAACATAATTGAAAATCTATGGATAGACCTTAAAAGAGCAGTGCGTGACAGACAGCCCAGAAATCTCAAAGAACTGGAAGACTTTTGTAAGGAAGAATGGGCAAAGATACCTCAAACAAGAATTGAAAGACTCTTGGCTGGCTACAAAAAGCGTTTACAAGCTGTGATACTTGCCAAAGGGGGCAGTACAAGATATTAACTCTGCAGGGTGCCCAAACGTTTGCAGACGCCATTTTTTTGTTTTCTGTTATTTTGAAAGTGTAAATGATGGAAATAAAATCTAACTTTTGTTGACATATTATAAGAATGTCTAATCTGTAATTTGATGTCTTTTGGAGATTTTTCCATCTTTCCTTGGCTTCTTTATGCACATTAATACAAATTTGTAGCTGGGGCGCCCAAACTTTCGAGAGTGTGTGTTTGTGTGTGTCTTTGTAGTCCTCAACTCAAAAATGGCTGCTCAGCAACCCCTCCCATCGAGTGAACTTGAGAGCAAAGAAAAATATTTCTTTCTAGAGATCAGACCTAGAAGAGGATTACGCTTATATTCTGAAGGAAGATTGTTTTCGTGTAAAATGACCAATCAAAGACTAATATAATGCTAATGCTGCTCTCATGTGATTTTTTTGCATCATCTTGCATATATAAACTCACTTTTTCATTCCAATAAATGAGAAATATTCACAAACTGAACTCGTGTGTCAGTGTGGGTTTTCTTCAAGTGCGCGCACTACAGAGCTAGCGGTGATTAATTAGCACAGGAACAGATAATCACTGGACACTTAGTCCGCACTAAATCACTATAATATCATTCACTTATATATTCTCACTTTTATGCTGCACTTTACTGTTTCACATTTATTCAATAATTGCACATTTTTTTTTTTATATGCTGCCCTTGACTGTTCCGCTGATTTATTATTATTTTTTTTTTTTCGCTATGTGAGATTGACTTTGCACTTTATTTTCACTATAATATCATTCACTTATTTTAGCGCTGCACTTTCTATATATTTATCTAGAAGGAGTTATTACCTATACCTTGGTGCTAGCTGATTTATAGTTCCAGCGCTCGCCTACGTTTGATATTTACATTCCATCTTTATTGCACACCTCATTTTAGATCAAGTGATGTCATCACTAGGTCACTGTGCTTCTCTATACAATGTAGGCAGGTTGGTAGGAGGGGTTTAAAACCAATAGTGCAGAGCTTAACCAGTGAATAAATCCTAAACCTTGATCTTAAGAATTAAATGTGATAAATAATTATAATACAGTGTAAAGTCTCTGATACAATCAAAACGAATCAGTCCCACGTGCCGTGATGAAACCAGAGAACTTCATATAACCAGTGTAACACCATCCACTCGCATGCAAAGCTTACCGGAAGGATTGTGGCCCCTTACTAAGAGTGGTCAATCAACGCTCGTTAATATTGTATCGGTAACATCATGGATATAGACAGTCCTCCAGAATGTTGCGAAAAAGTGGCAAGGAGCCAACCAAAACGACTCTTAAATGATGGCTCCAGACCCTCCAATGTGAATCCGTAAAGCAGACACTCATAGTAAAATACATGTAATAGAGAAATGCTCCACATATTGTAAAACCACCAATATTAAGAAAAGTATTAAGTATGTTGCACTTACATGGTCAAAGTTAAAATTGGCATGTACAAAAAACACCATAGATGTATTCCAACAACAAAGATGGCCACTGGCCAGTTGGTAGTGTGTGCGTGGCTCCCTCCTACGTGTTTCGTCAGGGATTGGTATTTTGGTGGGAGGGGATGGCAGTGTTTTGCACATAGCTTCCTGAAAACGGGAAAAGTTGGTAACACTCACATGTGATGCTGAGCCTCTATGAATGGAAGAACTGAAATCCAATTCATGAAAGGGGCAGGCCAGGGAAAATCGGGCTGGTTGAGGAGGCTTGATGAAGCTGGATGTCCTCCAGCCAGGAAATAGCTTATCTGACTTCCTGCAGTTTCTAACGCACATTGTGAGAAGCTCACAGTGTGCAGTGAGATCAGAGGAAGCCATTTCAGTTCAGGAGAGGAGCTGGTACAACTCTGCGAGACTGAAGGAAAGACTGGAGTTTAGCTTTTAAAGACACTGCAAGTCCAAAAAAATACCCGTAGACCCGCCAGAAATGCACGGGCGGCTTAGTGGTTAAAGGGTTAGCATTTCCGCCTTACAGTACTCGGGTCGCTGGTTCGAATCCCAGCCACGGCACCACCTGCCTGGAGTTTGCATGTTCTCCCTGTGCTTGCGTGCGTTTCCTCCGGGTACTCCGGTTTCCTCCCACACTCCAAAGACATGCTGGTAGGTTAATTGGCCCGTCTAAATTGTCCCTAGTATGTGTATGAATGTGAGTTAGGGGCCTTAGATTGTACACCCCTTGAGGGTTAGGGACTGATGTGAATGTACTATATATATATATATATATATATATATATATATATATACAGTGGGGATCGAAAGTTTGGGCACCCCAGCTAAAAATTTGTACTAATGTGCATAAAGAAGCCAAGGAAAGATGGAAAAATCTCCAAAAGGCATCAAATTACAGATTAGACATTCTTATAATATGTCAACAAAAGTTAGATTTTATTTCCATCATTTACACTTTCAAAATAACAGAAAACAAAAAAATGGCGTCTGCAAAAGTTTGGGCACCCTGCAGAATTTATAGCATGCACTGCCCCCTTTGCAAAGCTGAGACCTGCCAGTGTCATGGATTGTTCTCAATCATCGTCTGGGAAGACCAGGTGATGTCAATCTCAAAGGTTATAAATGCCCAGACTCATCTGACCTTGCCCCAACAATCAGCACCATGGGTTCTTCTAAGCAGTTGTCTAGAAAACTGAAACTGAAAATAGTTGACGCTCACAAAGCTGGAGAAGGCTATAAGAAGATAGCAAAGCGTTTTCAGATGTCAATATCCTCTGTTCGGAATGTAATTAAAAAATGGCAGTCATCAGGAACAGTGGAAGTTAAAGCAAGATCTGGAAGACCAAGAAAAATATCAGACAGAACAGCTCGCAGGATTGTGAGAAAAACAATTCAAAACCCACGTTTGACTGCACGATCCCTCCAGAAAGATCTGGCAGACACTGGAGTTGTGGTACACTATTCCACTATAAAGAGATACTTGTACAAATATGGTCTTCATGGAAGAGTCATCAGAAGAAAACCTCTTCTACGTCCTCACCACAAAAATCATCGTTTGAACTTTGCAAATGAACATATAGAAAAGCCTGATGCATTTTGGAAACAAGTTCTGTGGACCGATGAGGTTAAAATTGAACTTTTTGGCCGGAATGAGCAAAGGAACGTTTGGAGAAGAAGGGGCACAAAATCTAATGAAAAGAACCTCTGTCCAACTGTTAAGCATGGGGTTGGATCAATCATGCTTTGGGGTTGTGTTGCAGCCAGTGGCACAGGGAACATCTCACGAGTAGAAGGAAAAATGGATTCAATAAAATTTCAGCAAATTTTGGATGGTAACTTGATGCCATCTGTGAAAAAGCTGAAGTTAAAGAGAGGATGGCTTTTACAAATGGATAATGATCCTAAACACACCTCGAAATCTACGGGGGATTACATCAAGAGGCGTAAACTGAAGGTTTTGCCATGGCCTTCACAATCTCCTGACCTCATCATAATTGAAAATCTATGGATAGACCTTAAAAGAGCAGTGTGTGACAGACAGCCCAGAAATCTCAAAGAACTGGAAGACTTTTGTAAGGAAGAATGGGCAAAGATACCTCAAACAAGAATTGAAAGACTCTTGGCTGGCTACAAAAAGCGTTTACAAGCTGTGATACTTGCCAAAGGGGGCAGTACAAGATATTAACTCTGCAGGTGCCCAAACTTTTGCAGACGCCATTTTTTTGTTTTCTGTTATTTTGAAAGTGTAAATGATGGAAATAAAATCTAACTTTTGTTGACATATTATAAGAATGTCTAATCTGTAATGTGATGCCTTTTGGAGATTTTTCCATCTTTCCTTGGCTTCTTTATGCACATTTATACAAATTTTTAGCTGGGGTGCCCAAACTTTCGATCCCCACTATATATATATATAATGTGTAAATTGACAGCGCTATAAGTACCTGAAATAAATAAGTCCCATTGTGGGCTGACAACACACAGAATTTTTGTGAACTGACTGGTGCCAACCCTGTCTTTTGCTAAACTACAATGCAATCCCTCCCACTCTCAGATGTCTACAACCTAGAAACTAAAGCCCGCCATAGACGAGCTGAAAACCGAACAAAATGTGTGTCGACCGTTGAATCATTCATTGTTCACATCATTGGTGTGCCAACGGCAACATGCAATTTTTGTGCTGCAATTGAAAGTGCCTGGTCCAACATGCTGGTGGTTTTTTTATTTCGTTTTTCTAAAAAAACAAAAAAAAAAACAAATGATGTCGCAATCATATGAGCTATCTTCGTTTTTTTTGATCAACAGAATGTTTGTTTGGTTTTCGACTCGTCTATGGCCAGCTTAGGCATTCTGTCTGTAGGCCAAGATCGGACCTAGGAGGGCTGTTCTAGATAACATGGAAGTGTGCAGAGGAAACAATACAGCTCTTAAGTTCCAGAAAAGATCAACCGTTATTTTTATCAAAAAGTTTCCAATGGTTTTAGTTCATTATTATATATTTAAGGGACCACAAGGAAGCAAATGTGAGAAGTTCATTGTTTTGACTTGTCCAGGGAAATGTCTTTCTCTGACCACCTTTTGTCTTCTATACAGGAGCTCAGGGCGGCTCTGTAGCCAAGGCTCTGCTGGCAGATGACACCTTTGCAGTCAGGGCGGTGACTCGTGATGTCAGCAAAGAAGCTGCTTTGAAGCTGAAGGAAGCTGGTGCTGAGGTGGTGGCCGCAGATCTGGATGATGAGAAGAGCGTTGAGGCTGCCCTGAGTGGAGCTTATGGAACTTTTGTGGTCACCAACTACTGGGAACATTTCATCAAAGATAAGGAAGTTGCCCAGGTAAACTGAGACATCCATGTGCATGCTATGTACTAAAACCTTTCCTCTAAGAGGGACACTCTGTTACCATACTATATGTACAATAGGGTGGTCTTCCAAATGAAGGCATTTCTTCTCTGTAGATATTTCCAGAGAAGAAATGTCGTCATTGTTTTTATCACCTAACCCAGCCCTTCTACCCCCATAGGAACCCGTGAAATAATTTTCACGTCTTGAGTCATGCAGGCCGGCCGAGATTTGAACCACCTATGGGCAGGCTATTGTACAACTTGGAAACAACCAGCATGTTGGTTTTTACATGCAACTTTTTTAATTTTTTTTTTTTTCTGCTAGCAGCTATAGCCACTAGCAATAGCCCCGTGTTCTTCTGGCCGGGCCAGCTTTCCAAGCCCCACCCAGAGAATACAATACCTCTGCTCTGTATCAACACTGACTGGTTACAGGAAAGAACATCACATTGTCTATGGCTTGCCTTAGGGAACCTCTGATAAATCCATGGGAAGAATGCCCATTACACTGGTGGTGAATGGGAAGAATGCCTTCTAACAGTGGTGGTCAGAATGCCACCCATACAATCAGATAAAAAGATCAGTGGGTTCATGCAGCTGGTTCTTCCAAGTGGCATTGACCCCAGAGACTATGGTCAGTCAACCGCTGCTCAAGGAACCCCTAGCAACTTCTGGAGGTACCCTAAGGCTCCTCAGAACCCTGGTTGAGAATGGCTGACCTAACCTGTAAACTGTAGTAATGAAAATACACAGGATGCCACTGCTGTCCTCTCCTTCTGAATATGCTAGTTCCCAACTTTCATGTTTACCCAGGGACTTCAGTAGCTTTTGAATCACTAACAGGGAGCAATTATGAAGCTTGAGGGAGTTTTATCTCTGATGACCTTGGAGAACATTATCTAAACGTTCTGCAGGAATAACATTTCATGTATCTGGGGGTGTCTGCAGCATATCTTCAGAAGTGATCTAGAGCAGTGGCTCCCAACCTTGAGACCTGGACCTGGGAAATTCTTCCAAAACTTTCCATGCCACAGCCATAGTAAGCCTGTCCCTCACTGGCATGCTGTAGAGGAGGACCCTTTCCAGGTATGTAGAAGCAGGTACCTCTCTACAGACGCCTGGCATGATCCACTGTGATTTGACAGCTACAGATCTCTAATCAGTTCTACAATTAGCAGAGAGCTCGGGTTGGGAGAATTTGTTTTTGACAACCTATTTAGCAGAAAGTTACAACTGACCTCTCTTTCAAGGGCAAACTGATCGCGGATGTGTCTAAGCGTCTTGGCCTGACGTTGGTGGTGTTCAGTGGTTTGGAGAATGTGAAGAAGTTGACTGGTGGAAAGCTGGAAGTGCATCATTTTGACAGTAAAGGGGAGGTGGAGGAGTACTTCAGGGAGATCGGCATGCCGATGACCAGCGTGAGACTCCCTTGTTACTACGAGAACTTCCTGACCTTCTTCAGGCCACAGAAGGACAAGGATGGCAATGGCTACACTCTGGGTAAGATGATGGTGTAGCAGTGTTAATTAACCTGTAGGTATCCCACTGAAGTGGAAATAAACAAGTACATGTAGACAAATGGACATGTGGCACATATAGACAACAGGGTCCAGAGTCAGGTGTGAATACTTGTCTTGTCTGTAGTCAATACCATGCTACCTTCAGTCATTCATTGCCACTAGTCTTGCTTTTTTGGATTTTTTTTTCGCTCTTTGGATAAGGTTTGTGTCAGTCTATTTGTTTTGGACTAATGGTTCCTTGGCCTAATCTATATTGTCCCACAAATTTGTAACTATAAGCTGTTTCAACTGGAGTATGGAAGGGTTGGAACGTCTGTAAGGTCTTTATTAATGTCTGCATTCTCCCTGGGGAGTATCATCCTCTCGGTTTGTCTTTGAGACAATGCTCGCTGAGAAAAATGATGGGAAAGCCAAAATATGGCCATTTCCAAAGAAACAGGAGAGGGGGAGATTTCCAATGAGGGTCCCTGGTCTGGCGACAACTAAGAGTGGACTTTCGCTCACTTTCCGTTGTAACTCTGGGACAGGAAGTGCATGGTAATCTCCCCAACAGGATACAGATGGCAAAAAAAATAGAATTTTAACCATTCTCCACTTTACCAAAAAATAATACATTTCTCAATGTTCATCAATAAATCTTGACTGATCTCATATGGATGTCTATAAAATGAAGCATGATCATATTCTATAGTGTGACGCTGAAATGTATCATCTTGCAGGCTTGCCTATGGGTGATGTCCCCCTGGATGGGTTCTCTGTGAAGGATCTGGGTGGCGTTGTTCTCACCATCTTAAAGTCTCCCTCAAAATATGCTGGCAAGGACCTCGGTCTCAGCATGGAGAAGCTGACTACAGAACAGTATGCTGCTATACTGACCAGAGTGCTTGGCAAGAACATCAGAGATGTCAAGGTAATAAGTGGTGACGAGTGATCGCTCCAATCTAAGGCAAAGCTTACACAGAAATTGGGAGATTTGCCTAACATGGTCACAAAGATTCAAACCTAGTAGAGAATCAAGGATGAGAGTTTTTGAAGGGTTTTTTTTTTTCCATATCGACTTTGTCTATGCATTTTAGTATAAAAAGTCTAAACCATTTTGGTGGTTCAAAGTGCCCTTTGCAGTAAGGATTCCCTTACATTGGTGGACAGTGGGAGAGGGACCACCTTACATTGGTGGAGAGTAGGACTCCCTTACATTGATGGACAGTCGGAAAAGGATCACCTTACATTGGTGGAGAGAAGGACCCCCTTACATTGGACAGTGGGAGAGGGACCACCTTACATTGATGGAGAGTAGAAGGACCTCCTTATATTGGTGGAGCAGAAGGACCCCGTTACATTGATGGACAGTGGGAGAGGAACCACCTTAAATTGATGAAGAGTAGAAGGACCTCCTTATATTGATGGACAGTGGGAGAGGAACCACCTTACATTGATGGAGAGTAGAAGGACCTCCTTATATTGGACAGTGGGAGAGGGACCACCTTACATTGGTGGAGAGTAGGACCCCCTTACATTGGTGGAGAGTAGAAGGACCCCCTTCCCTTACATTGGACAGTGGGAAAGGGTTCACCTTACATTAGTGGAGAGTAGAAGGACCCCCTTACATTGGTGGAAAGTAGAAGGACCTACTTATATTGATGGACAGTGTGAAAGGGTCCACCTTACATTGGTGGACTATTTATTTTTTATTGTTTACCACCCTGCACAGTCCAGGGTGGTCACTAGGGAGAAAGGCCTCTTTACACTGGTGGCCAGAGGATAGAAAGGCCAATTACACTGGTAGTCATTGGGAAGAATGCTCCTTAAATTTGTGGTCAGCGGGAAAAAGGACCTCCAATGAACTGGTGGTTATTGAAAAGAACGCACTCCTTACAGATAACTAGATAATTGTTTTGCATTGGTGTCAGTTGTAACTGAAGAAGCAGAAATTGCTCAGTGCTTGAGGACCCCCTAGCGACCTTTAGAGGAACCCTAGGGTTTCACGGAACCATGGTTGCGAGAGGCTGATCTGGATGGCTGCCAAAGTAGTGGCAGGAAACAAATATTTAGAACTGGCACAAATTTCCCTTTTTGTGAACGTCAATCTCAGTCTAAACACCTTTTCAGCATTCCTAAGCCCTGAGGAAGGAACAAGCATGTTGGCCTTTTATGCTAATATAAACGTTTTAACTGGACTGATGCTTAAAATTAAATTAAGTGAGAATACAGGACTTGGCAGTGCCAATCCTTTTGAAAATTCTATTTACCTTATTGTCGACTTATAATAATCGCTGGACAAGAACAGAGCAGGTGAATTTAGAACTTCCTACATACTGTTCTAGGCTAAGGACTGAAACTTGCATTTTCACAAGACCAGCAATGGCAAGCTACATATTACATGGCAGGCCATGCTTAACTTTCACTCTTGACTTTTGCAGATGACTCCCGAAGACTATGCAAAAATGGGCTTTCCCGGGGCACAGGAGCTGGCCAACATGTTTAAGTTCTACTTGATGAAACCAGACCGCGACATTCAGCTCACCCTTCAGCTCAATCCCAAATCCAAAAAGTTCCAGTGCTGGCTAGAGGAGAACAAGGCCGCCTTTGACAACCTGTGAACCTTATTCCCTGAACAGTAAAAACTGTAATGTTTCTTCAATGTGAACTTATGCCACGTGGGTCAGAATTTGGACTTTTCTTCATAGGAAGCAATGACCAATCCACCTTCCAATTAAAACCAGCCATGACTGTCATCCTATTCTTTTGTAATAATAAAATGGATAAGAAAATCCTAATGGGCTTCCATTTCATTCTGCTTATAGTTGGTAAGGAGATGGAAGCACAGGTTCCTCTAGTTCCTGGTGTGTGCATGACACCACTGTATATTTTTTGTTAGCTGAGAAACTCCTCGAAGTTTATTTAGGCGAAGTACACCCTTAGCTGGTAGAGCTAGCTGTAGGATTTCCACATCTTCACTGCTCTGTTTTAGGATTAAATTGAATCTTGTCCACTTCATTCTGTGGCCATGCATCTTCTTTAGAAAGACATTTGTATATTCTGATCATATCCCCTTTCACGTAGAAATGAACAAGCTGCACATTGATGTTGTTACCAATGTAAAGCCAGCTTTTAAGTGTTTGTAAAGCAGGACTAGGTTGAGATCTATCTGGACAACATGGAGGTAATCAAAGATTCCCAGGGGAAGGGGTGGCACCCTTTTTTTTTTTTTTATTTTTTTACAGTACTAACATGCTCCTAATAAAAACAGCATAGTGCCCTCCGCTTCCCTTCACATTATTTCCCTCACCACACTAGTGTCCTCTGCTCCCTTCCACCCCACAGTAGGGGAGTCTTCCCCCCAAAGCAGTTTCCTTTTTCTCCCTTCGTATTACCCCCCTCCCACTGCAGTGTCCTGTGCCCTCTCAGAGCAGTTTCCCTTGTCTCTCTTCGCATTACCCCCCCCCCCCCCCCCCCCCCCCCCCCCCCCCTCATAGCAGTGACCTCTGTCCCCTTCACATCACATCCCTCCCATTGTGGTGTCCTCTGCACCCCCATAGTGGTGTCCTGTGCCCTCTCAAAGCAGTGTCCTCTGTCCCCTTCACACACATTACCCCCTCAATTGCTGTGTCCTCTGGCCCCTCCACACACCCCCTACACTATAGTGTCCTCTGTCCCCTTTACACCCCCCTTCACTGTAGTGTACTTGCGATTGATTGCTTGTTGACCTGGTTGTAAAGGCTTAGTAGAGTATTTATTTATTTTTTTAAACACGTTACCTATAGTATTGCACAGAGCGGTTCCAAACCTCCTGTTCTGGGGCCCCCTACCAGCGCTCCAGGCTCCTCCCTTTACTTAGTGCGTCACTACAGGAAGTCTCTTCCTATGGGGGCACACCTGTGGGCTTCCTCCCGGGCCAGTCTGTGTGCGTCCATAGACATACACAGCGTTGCACTGCCCCACTCCCTCCTCACAGGATTTCACTGACAGCAGGGGGAGTCAATGGCTCCTGCGTCTGTCCTGTGGGGAGAGAGAGCAGTGCCACAGCACACCGGCACAGAACTGGATCGAGACACGCCTTGGGTAAGTATAAGGGGGGGCAGTACTTCCAGTGGAACCTTCTTTCTTTTTTTTTTCTTTCCTCTACCTTTTTAATTGCAGGGAATGTGTCAATGCCAACATGTCCTGCCTTTAGAACCACTGTAATATAAAAAGTAAATGATTCACGTCGTATCTTGCTTGGCCGCCTTACAACACCCCGTAAAGGGCTTGACAAGCAGAATAGCAGATTGGGGATGGATGAGCGCTGGAGGTACAGGGAGCCACTGTGGAGCAGCATAACTACTAATGCCATATTCTGTAACCTTTTCTCATTACTGAGTTCCTCCATTTCTGGCAACTAGGTATGGAATGTCAAAGCAGCACTTTTTATTTATTATAGCGGACGGTTGGATTGCAATGTGCTTGAGATGTCGCAGTGCATGGAGAAGTTGTGTAGAAAATATCCCTAAAGGTGCACGAACCTTTATGAAATAATAGTTCAATATACAGGGACTAGAAAAATTCACAAACAGTGCTGTTTATGTGAACTTTTCTAGTCACTGTATATTGATTTATGAGTTCTTTAAAACGGCTGCTCTGTTTTACTATATTTAAATTTGTGTTACTTTCACCATCACTTTAGCGTGGAAATATATAGGTTGTGATTCGATATATATATATATATATATATATATATATATATATATATATACACACCGTATTTTCCGGCATATAAGACTACTTTTTAACCCATGAAAATCTTCTGAAAAGTCGGGGGTCGTCTTATACGCCGGTATACGGCGGCACTTTTTCAAGGGGCGGCGCGGTGGCGGAAGGGACACTAAGTACAGCGGCGGGCAGGGGGCTGCTGTACCTCACCTGGCTCCGGTCCAGGTCCCACGACGATCCGGTCCAGGAAGCGCGGCTGCTCCTTTCAGTTCGGCTGCTTGGCTCCGCCTCCTCACCGGTGATTGGGCGCCAGCACTGGAAAGGCACACAGGCGACCAATCACCGGCGAGGAGGCGGAGCCGAGCGGCCCCACGAAAATCGAGTGAGGGAGCGGCCAGTAAGTGTGCAGCAGCACCATGCTGTGACACTCTTGGCACTATTTCCCCCCCCCCCCCCCCCACTGACACCAACGATGAGGCACTGTTCCTCCCCCACTGACACCAACGATGGGGCACTATTCCTCCCCCCCCCCCCCCCCCACTGACACCAATGATGGGGCGCTTTTCCCGCCACTGATACCAATGATGGGACACTATTCCTCCCCCTGACACCAATGATGGGGCACTATTCCTCCCCCTGACATCAATGATGGGGCACTATTCCTCCCCCTGACACCAACGATGGGGCACTATTCCTCCCACTGACACCAACGATGGGGCACTATTCCTCCCACTGACACCAACGATGGGGCACTATTCCTCCCACTGACACCAACGATGGGGCACTATTCCTCACACACTGATACCAACGATGGGGCACTATTCCTCCCACTGATACCAACGATGGGGCACTATTCCTCACACACTGATACCAACGATGGGGCACTATTCCTCCCACTGATACCAACGATGGGGGCACTATTCCTCCCACTGATACCAACGATGGGGGCACTATTCCTCCCACTGATACCAACGATGGGACACTATTCCTCCCACTGATACCAACGATGGGGCACTATTCCTCCCACTGATACCAACGATGGGGCACTATTCCTCCCACTGATACCAACGATGGGGCACTATTCCTCCCACTGACACCAACGATGGGGCACTATTCCTCCCACTGACACCAACGATGGGGCACTATTCCTCCCACTGACACCAACGATGGGGCACTATTCCTCCCACTGACACCAACGATGGGGCACTATTCCTCCCACTGACACCAACGATGGGGCACTATTCCTCCCACTGACACCAACGATGGGGCACTATTCCTCCCACTGACACCAACGATGGGGCACTATTCCTCCCACTGACACCAACGATGGGGCACTATTCCTCCCACTGACACCAACGATGGGGCACTATTCCTCCCCCTGACACCAACGATGGGGCACTATTCCTCCCCCTGACACCAACGATGGGGCACTATTCCTCCCCCTGACACCAATGATGGGGCACTATTCCTCCCACTGACACTAATAATGGGGCATTGATTTCCCTCCAATGCATTTCACCCCAATGGTGAAATTTCATGGAGATGAAAACTCTCAACTTTGCTTGGCCCTATTAATTTCATCTCCATCCCTGCTTGTATTTTGGTGGTCGTTTTCTGCTTTTCACCATTTCAAGTATCCCAGGGACAGGATGCAGCAACATAAAGCACCACACCAATGGATGATTGTTAGGTCATTACGGTTTAATGCAACATACTAATAAATATACATTTTTCACAGTTAGAGGAATCCGCCGCCACAGGGGCTCTTGTGGCGAGCAACAAGGTCACATCAGGTTTAAATTGGCAAAATTTACAACAAAAAAAAATAAAAACTTGAGAGTTACGTGTGCTGGTGGTCTATATTATTCAGAGTTTAAAAAATAAAATATATATATCTGCCCAGCTTCCATTCCCATTCTCTGGTCACAACGAGGACGGCCATTTTGTGCATTGCGTTCTATCAGCTCGCTGACAACTGTTGGTGTAACCAGAGAGGCTTTGCTAGATCTGGCCACAATGCCTGCTGCTACTATGGAGGCAACAGGGCTAGACTAAGAGTAATTTATACTGGGCCATGAAAATGGCTGCCTTGGTCTAGGTATAGATATTGGGTACAAATCGGCTTTAAAGTCAGCATGCAGCTATGTGTATTGGGATCAATGTCCGCTGGTTTTCTGTACAGATGCAAATATAAAAAACACAACTAAATCATTTATCACTTCATTCTCGCTTTGTGGTTCTAATCTCAATGTGGTGACTCTAACTTTCCAGAGTAATGCCACTTTTCCACCAACATTAACACTGTAAGGCAGGGCAGTGTATTGGTCATCTTTGGAAATAATGGGAATTTGTTGTAGTAAAGGCCTTTTCTTTAAAGTTCACTGAGGGACACAACTCTTCTTATTCCATGACAAAGAAGGTTATTCTGCCACCTACAGGAGGATCGGACACTAGGTTGCAAAAACCAAAAGGGACAGGCCCAAGGGGGTTATGACACCCTCCAAAGCTTTAGGGTTAGCAAAGCAGTCATAAAAAAAAATTACACGCCAACAGAAAAGCCTAAATGAGGGAAGGGAGACAAATCCCTCAAAGAAAATGAAATCTGGGGTGAGGGGCGGGGTTATGACACCTGTAAAAAAAAAAAGGAGGAAGCCTTGCAGCCCAAGAATAAGGACCATCCAAGAAGTCTTGCAACCCAAGAAAGAGCCATCATAGAAGTCTCAGACCAGCAGAGCTAAGGAAAGACATATGTCCTCCTGAAGACACCAAGTTAACCCCCCGAAGCATGCTTAGCACAGAGAGCTCATGGTTACCTTAGTGCTGATCTTTTTAGTGTTCTGCAACCTGTTTCCAGTCCTGTATGTGGCAGTATAACCCATTTTGTCAAAGAAAAAGAAGAGGTATGCCGTCA